TCCCCATTTTATGGGTGAGTGAGCTGAGGCATAGAGAGATTAAGCGAGCTGCACAAGGTCACACCACCAACGAGGACTGAGCCAGTTTTGAACCTAAATTAGTCAGTCTGCCTCTGAGTCTCTGCTACCACCCAGAATTACCGTACCTGCCTCTATATGCAAAGGTTCTAAGGGTCTTTTATAACCCAGTGAAAGGTAGCTAAAGCTTCTCCATCGCACTTTATGTTTAATATGAGTTTTCAGTATGTGATGTTTCATTTTCCAAGAACTTTTCTTATCCCAAATAAGATTTGATGTCTATAACATTCTTTTCTGAATTTTTGAGGCAACTGCGTTTTTCCTTCTTTAGTCTGTCAATGTGGTGAATTACACTGAGATTTTTCAGAGGTAGTCTTGTATTCCTGAAATGAATTTCACTTGGTCATGATATATTACTTTTTAATACATTGTTGGATTTAGTTAGTCGAATTAAGAATTTTTGCCAAATGGGCCTATAATTTACTTTTCTTCTAATGTTCTTATTCAGTTTGAAACATAGGTTATAGTAGCCTCGTAAAATGAATTACACAGCTTTGTCAATTGTCTTTTCTGGAACATCTCGTGTAAGACAAGAATTACTCAAAAATGTGGAAAATCACTTGGAAAGCATCTGAGCCTGGGGGGAGGAAAGAGGGCGGTCTCTTTCATTACTGTTTCGATTTTTTTGATTTGTTTATTTTAGATTTTGTTTCTTCCTGCACAAATTTTGTCATTTCACATTTCTCCAGACATGTATTCCTTTTGGTCTTGGTTTTCAATTTTATTAGCATGTCGTTAATATTTTTATTATATATTTTTATTATAAAATATACCTACGAACAAAAGACTTTATTTTATTTATATATATGTACACACACACACACACACACACACACACACAGATATATTATACAGTTAGAGAAAATAATAAAATGAAGACCCAAGTACCTCCTCTCTTACGGCCACTGTGTGTCTAGCATCAACCCCCTCCCCGCCCCCAACCCCTGCAAATTCCATTCCCCTACATCCCTTCCAATGATTTAATTACCAAGAGGTTTATCCCAGAGATGCAAGATTGGTTTAACGTTTGAAAATCGATCGATATAATTAACCACATCAATGAAATAAAAGCAAAATATATAAATAGATACATAAAATATATATATGATTATCTTAATAGATGCAAGAGGCATTTGACAAAATTGAATTATCTATTCATGATTTTTTTTAACCCTCAGCAAAATAGGAATATAATTCCTCAATATGATAAAGGCCACTCTCCAACAAAACCTATAGCCAAATTCATGCTTAATCGCGAAAGACTAAATGCTTTCTCCTTAGATCATGTACAAGACAACGAAAAGAAAGAAAAGCCATACAAATTGGAGAGGAAATAACTGTCTTTATTTGCAAACAACATGAACATCTATGTAGAAAAGCTTATGGAATCCACGTCAAAACGACCAGAGTTTAACAATGGGAATTTAACAAAGTATAAGATCAATGTATAAAAATAAATTGTATTTCTATGCTAGCTATGAGCAACAGACAATTGGAGATTGAAATTAAAATTCGATTTATGGTAGCATCCAAAAGCATAAAATGTTCAAGGGGAAATTTAAACAAAATATGTTTAAGATCTATACATTAAAAACTATAAAACAAGGCTGAAAGAAATTAAAGAACACCTAAATAAGTGAAGAGATATATCATGTCCACTCATTAAAAGACTTGATGTTTTTAAGAAGTCAATTCTCCCCCAAATCTATAGATTCAATGCAAGCCTAATCAAAATTCCATTAGGCATTTTTGTAGACATCGACAGGCTTATTTTAAAATTTATTTGGAAATGCAAAAGACCTTGTAGAGCCTCAAAGAAATTTTATAAAAGGATAATATATCGGAAAACTCACACTATCTGATTTCAAGACATAATAGAAAGCTTAACAGTAATCATTACAGCATGGTGCCAGCAGGCAGATTAATGGAAGAGAATAGAGAATCCATAAGTAGACCCACATCTATGTGGTCAATTTCGATGGAGTTCCAAGGCGATCGGATGGGGAAACAAACGTCTTTTCAACAAATGGTACTACAACAACTGGATAGCCACATGGAAACAAAACAAGTATCAAAACTTACTTCACACTCTACGTAAAAATTAATTCGAAGCGGATCATGGATCTATATGTAATACTAGAGCTATAAAACTTCTAGAAAAAAGACAAAGGGAATTTTTAGGGCAGTGACAATACTCTGTATGATACTGCAATGGTGGATACATGTTATTTATTTCACATTTGTCCAAACCCGTAGAATGTACAGCAGCAAGGGTGAATCCTAACATGATCTGTGGATTTGGGGTGACGATGACGTGTCAGCGTAGGTCCATCACTTATAGCAAATGTGTCCCCTAGCGGGGGATGCCCATAGTGGGGGAAGCTGTGTTTGTGTGTGGGCAGGGTTTACCTGAGAAATCGCTAACCTTTTGCTCAATTTTGCTGTGAACCAAAAACTAAAAAATAACGTCTACTTTTAAAAATATAACTGTAATCCTTGCAGCTCTAAAATTTTATCATTTAAAAATTTTAAAAGAAGAAATAATTCTTGGTCATTGATCTTTAAAATCAGTTTTAAAATCTCATTTGTTTTGAGGCTCCAAACCAAGTTAATCGTTTTTAAAATATCCACATGCATTCTTAAAGGTACTAAATTTCTTTTATCATTTTAAAAGGTAATTTATATCTTTACTATTTATATAAGTCACAATGCAAATATTTATATTCAAATAGCATTTAGATAATAGCAGATTTTTTCTAAACACTGAACAATACAGCCCAGCTTGCAACCCTAATATGTCATCTGGTCTAATCTGCCAGCAGGTGGCATACTAACCTGAGCCTTGGAAAATTTTTTTTCTGATAATCGCTAAAGATAAATTCAACCTTTTATACTGCACCTGCCACTTCCGGGCTGGCTACTAAAGCTGTTTGGGTGAATCACGATTCACTGGTGGCCACATACATAAGCGCGAGTCCCAGTGCCTGCCCTGTGTTCTGCTCTCTTTCCCATTATCAGGAGTAGAGGGTAAGACTAAGGGATGAAGAATTGTGGGGGTTTCTGCTAGGAAGGAAAAGGAAAGAGAAGACCCATGTATTGAGCTCTTACTTTATGCCATGCCTGGTGCTAAGCCCTCAACGTACATCATCTCACTCGATCCTACAAGAGTCTCCGAAGCTAGGCTCTTCATTATCCTCATTTTACAGGGAAACTGAGGCTCTTGCCTAAGGGTCCCCCCACCCACCCAACAGCACCAGCCCCTGAATCCTGAGCCTGGAGCCTTTGAGTGTTCTTCGTTTAGGAACTGCGATGGGTTAATTTTATATGTCAACTTGACTGAGCTAAGGAATGGCCAGAAAGCTGGTAAAACATTAATTCTGGGGGTGTCTGGAAGTAATTAGCATTTGAATCAGTAGGCTGAGTAAGGAGATCTGCCACCACCACCATCCCTGCCCACCCCCTCCGGTGTGGTAGGGTTCATCTAATCTCTTGGGGACCCAAATGGAACAGAAAGGAGAAGGAAGGATGAATTCTCTCTTCTTTAGCTGAGACAGCCATCCCTTCCGGCCCATGAGCATCGGAGCTCCTGGTTCTCTGGCTTCAGACTAGGACTTATACCGGCTGCCCCTCCATTCTCAGGCCTTTGGCCTCAGACTGAGAGCTATGCCATGGGCTCCCCAGGCTCTCAAGCCTCCGAATTTGAACTGAGTTACACCACTGGCTTGGCCGGTCATCCAGCTTACAGATGGCAGATTATGGGACTTCTTGGCCTTCATAACTGTGTGAGCCAATTCTTATTTAAAAAAAAAAATCTCATACATTTCATTATAGATCCTAGTGGTTAATCAGGAGATCGCTGCCTAACACAGTCAAGGTCACTTATTTACCCAGTTATTCTATTACTCATCCTGAGATGCTGATTTCAAAACCTACTGTACTAGTTAGTCTTCCCTGAGAGGGAGAGACAGGACGTATTATGGGAATAAAGTCACTCCCTCCTGGATGACCCAGCCTCTCGAGAGGATAGGCTTTTAATGTGGTATAAAAATATTTTTTAAAATTTTATATGCCTGTATGGCTGTAGTACTTTGCTAAAAGGAATTTGCGTGTCTTCCCTGGCTGCGGTTTAATTCAAGAAAGACTGCTACCCACCGGGGTGAGAGGCTCTGGCTAGTCTGCAGTGTGGATGATCCCTTCCAGAGCTGGGGACTCTGCCTTCTGCAGTGAAGCCCTTTCCTGGCCAAGAACCGAGACTGACGGATGCACTTGGAGAACGAGGCATGTTCATGCTCAAGGTCATGACCTGAGTCAGCAGCGAGGGCCTCTGCCAAGTGCCCTTCACTCCGGGGCTCACTGGCCACTTAATATGTTTCAGCTGTGTTTATTAATCCACTGAGCAGCCATGGAAATAAGGAGGTAAGAAAAGCCCAAAGACAAGTAAAGAACTGGAGAGAATGATAAAAATGGCACTGCGAGCCCCTGGGGCAGAACCTCCTCCCAGTAGCTAGAGTTTCTGATCCTGAAAACTCAGCACACCCCGCCTTTCTTTCCATCGGTTACTGGAGAGGGCTGAGGCGTGAGCTGGGAAAACGGGTCGATATATTCTGGAAGACATTGAAGTTTCCTTTATTTGCGATCGTTCCTTCGCAACCAGTCACCCCAGCATAACTGCCGCATGTGCATCGCAAGCCCAGATCCCCCTCCAGCAATTCAGACTCATGTTTGTGACTCTAGAGAACACTTGTCCCCTAAGGTCCCGTCAACTCCCCCTGCAATCCTGCATGCCAGCTGGGTCACCTTCTTTTCCTGTTCACACCGAGCACAGGTCTGAAACCATGGGTCTCTGTTTTCTGTATCCTGCACCCCGGTCCCAGGCTTCAGTTTCCAAGTGCCCAGAAGAAAGCTTTGCTGGAAATACCCCACTAGGCAGGACTACCACAGGGGCATAGGATGGGCTCTGTGTCATAGAATGTCTTGCTGCCACAGTGAGGACAGCGGCTGGTGCTAAGCCACACAGTCCTGGTCCGTCCCAAGTCCCTCAGGATCTCTATCAGCTCAGCCCGAATTTGAGCAAATCTCCCCAGCTGCAGGCCCTGCCCTCCC